TTAATACTATAAGTACAGTTTCTGAATATACTTACATACTTAAATGAAGTAAGATTATAAATGCAGGACTTCTACTTGTAGCCAAGTATTTTTACAGTTTGGTTACTGTTCTGAATACTTCATCCACCGCTGCATTTGCTCTTGTAAATCAAAGCTGGTGTCACTTCCAGCACAGCAGACAGCAGCTGAACAGCTCAACAGTTGCACCAACATAATCACAACACAATCCACAGATGGAGCGCTGCACCTTGGAGGCCAGTGAGCTAACAGCGCCCTGCAGAAACACCAGCTGACCCAACACAGACTCACAAGGCTGGTTCCTGACCTACTTGCATTTGTTGTATCTGTGTGGACATATGAGAGGGTGGGAGAGAGGAAGAGGGAGAAGGGACGTTTTAATCTGAAATTATCTATAATTAGTTATTTTCTGAGCTCATGTCCACCATGTTTTCTAGTCTCTCCCTCTCAGCCAGTCTCTCTGCGTAGGAACCTCTCTCTCATTGGTTCTGAGAGCAGAGAGAAAAATGGAACCTGCAGGCTGCATTCTGTGATTGGTGAGCCAATATCAGTCTCAGCCAATCAGAGGAAAGCTGGGTGGGGGAGAGGGGAGCTGGCTGATTGATCAGACTGGAACTGTTAAAGGATCACAGTGAGGTCATGGGAATCTATTAAGGCAGTTAAATGATCAAATACGGTTTTATTACTTTATAAAATATTGTCAGAACATGAATGTAGATTTGAGTTATAATCATGTTTTGTTGCTTTTCAGGAAATATTTGAGCAAGTTTTTAAATAAGACCAGTGTTGAAAAGTCTGCTTAATAGTGTTTAAAAAAGCTTTGTCATAACGAGAAATAACACCAGGGTTGATTTCAGTGATCACTCAAACTATTTTTGTAGACGTTGGCTACTTGTTCATAGGATCAATTCAGTGTTTGTTTTGGTCTTTTCATGAGATTTGTTGACAATAAGAAAAATACATCACTAGACAAACAAATGAACAAGGCGAATGTTTTGAATTTATGAACCAACAGTGATGCATCAAAGAAAGGAAATACTTGTCCATAATCATCTTCCTCCTCTGGGGGGGTTGGCGTACATTTGCTGATTCTTTGCACTTATATCACTCAGCAGCCACCCAGTCAACATCAAACACACACACACACACACAGAGTGGTAAAGACTGTCTAAACTGTGCTGTGTAATCACAGATTTTATACGGTTTAGCAGTACTGGACGTACGGTGCTTTGGAGGACAAAGTGAGGAAATATGAGATGACTCGCATAGAAATGTACATGACAGCAGGATATACATTATCTCTGTCTCTTGGGACTTTTCCAGACCAGAGAGGGCTTACACTTATGTTTCTTTCTGCTATTCACGCCTAACCTAATGAATCCTTCACATAAGTTAACTTTATACAGGACATATATATGTAGCTTCAGGAATACCTCCTTTATCATTTTCGCACTGTTGAAATGAATTTCATGGCAATATATCCTGCATTTCTGGGTAAAATGATGTTGATGTTATAATGTTTTTTTCCCTTATTTAAGGTAGAAGTCAAAGACTCTCAACCGAAAACAAAAAAAGAGAGATGGTGTGCAGGTATCTTATGTCAAAGTACAAAAACAGTTTGCACCATAATCTATCAGAATTCTTTTGGCAATTCTTTTTTTTGTTTTTATGTTAAGCACAAGTAAGTAAAATGCACATATGTTGATTTAGCTTCTGATTCTTTTTAACCTTTCTTTTTAAGTCCATTCTTTGTCCAAACGACCTACACACTAAAAGACACAGATTGAATCCACAGTGGAGCTTGGACACGCAAAGACAAGACTGTATACCGCAATTTTAACTTATTTTCACTCATTATTTATGTAATTTTGCAAACATTTGCCATATTGTGGCACACTGTACATCAATATCAACATTGTTTCTTCTTATTATTTGATATTGATCACAACCATTTTGCCCAGCACCACATGGAAGAAATCTATTGCAGAGGAGGCAAACAGATCAATTAGTCCACTGACAACAGTTTCAATAGACCAGAATGTAATGCAGCTACAACACATGCTGTGTTTTGAGTATAACTGCAACCTTTTCTAAACTGGAAAATCTCTGTTTCTACACGTCTCCTGTTGCTATCGCTCTCTCCACCTACACAGACTGTATATTACCCGCAGAGCCTTTAAAGCACTACGAAGTGAAGGGGTTTAACACTTCACTGTCCCTAAAATATACACATCACCTAATGACAACAGAAAAACAGGATAAGCAGGGATTTTTCTTTTAACTCAACTTGCCCTTCTATTGTTCCAGTACATGTGACACTGAAAATATATTTTTCCCCAGGCTGTTTGCTGCAGCTCAGTAAGCTGATCCAGTAGTGTCTCATGTGCGATGGTCCAGGCTGTAGCTACAGAATTATAGACTGTAGTCACTCAGTCATTCTGCACGGGTGACTTATTGACTGCATATGCCTGTGAATCAGAGCAATTTAATTAACGCGGATCTGACTCAGGCCTTGCTTGCTGCCTCTGTGTGTGTGTTAAGAGGAGAAATAAAGAACTGACATCTTAAGCTGTACAATGGTCACCAGTTCCTGTCTGGACATATGAGTGCAACCGACCAGACTGTGGTGAAAGGGCAGCAGGCAAAAAACTGGGTAACCTGTATCATGACGCTGGGTATCAAATGGCTCAGTTAACTCTGCGTTTTACAATCCGGCTACGAGCACGACCAGGTGAAAGCAACATCATTAGAAATGAGATGAAACAAAAATACCTGCAGGAAATATTTGCAAAAAGTGATATTTAACCAGGAATATCTACAAAATAATCACATACTTAGAAGACAAAAAGTCTATCAATATATCCTGGAATTATTATACAGTATATGTCTTTTGTAGTGTGTTTTCTTTTTTTATGTACAGGAATATTAATATATATATAAATGTTTGTATGTATATTCAATGTTGATGTTAGTTATACTTTGTTTGACTTTAATATAATTTAATTTTTTTGTGTGGCTGATGTTCTGCATCAGCTAATGGGGATCCTAATAAAAATCCTAAAATCTTACTCCTGTGTGAGTAATTTTTGCTTTTTTGTCTGGTGATACACAAACAATTATGAATATGTGATGCGCATGAAGATGCTAAAAGTAGGTTAATGTTTCCACTGCCAAAGCAGAGAAGAGACGAGCGAGAAAAAACGTAGCTAATGCCTGATGAGGTCTATCTGAACTAAATGTTGCATTTATAATCATAACAGCTAATTATCTTTGTGTGGATTCTTCTTCGGTGGGTATAGTTTTTATTTCCAATTCTCATCATATAGTCAGCTCATGTTATTCTGAGCTGCAGTGATAGAGAGAGTAAAAGCATCAACATTGTAAATAATCTCTTTGGGAATTAAACTGAGTTATAATCGTCGTTATATATTAGTGTAAACTATTCATCCATTTGTTAGAAGCTCTGTTTAAAACTGGAGTGGAAATGTAAAGCCTGGAACAGCAAAATGATTCTACTGACATTTAAATATATCTTTTGCTCTATATTCCTTGTGACTCTATTTTTGCCCATGTCAGGATCCTGTTGGAATAATAACTCAATTATTCCAGTGATCTGATTGGTCAGTAGTCAGCCTGTTGACACCGGAAAACCAGAGTTAGCTGACTAACCCACTAATCTCGCTTTGTGGCACAGGCCCCAGGTGAAACTGCTGTGCGCCTAACAAAACTAACTAATGTTAGCTTGCTAATACCTGACCCTTTAGATTGAAGAGTAAAAACATTATGTGGAATATGATCGAGACACACTTAAAATGCTGTTTAATAATTATGTAAACTAATAAGATTTTCAATTGCATTTCACAAAACTGACACAACATACAACAAAAAAACAGAACATTTTGCTAAATGATCAAATAGCATCAGCTAGGTTAGCATAATTGCCTATTTCCCACTCATTTTAAGCTGCATCAATACTACGAGCTCATAAACACGCATTTCTTTATCTATGCATGTACAGATTAAACAAAGAAATACCTACATTTACAAACGTTTGGCAGTCAAATAATCGTGTCCTGGGTGAAAGTCCTGTTTCTGGCCCACCGGCCACCTCAACCACCTCCTTACTTGGACTTTACTGTTAATAATCTTACACCTATCTTTAGCGTTCAAAAATTTCCCCCACTATGTTGAACTATGATGCTAAGGGTGTGTTACAAGCTGATGCTGACAGGTCTTGAGCAATGCGTCCATATGTGACGACTTAGGAGTGAGAATGAGTAAGTAAGTTTAATGTAAGCAATAATGGGTACGTTTACTGCATGAGAAGTCCTACTCAACCCGTAAAGCAGTTGTATAGCATCTTCTTTGGCTCAGGAGAAGCTTTCAAACGTCTAAGACCGCCAATGAAGTCACAATGATGTCATTAGGGTTGGTGACTTGACTTACAAATTCAGAGTCTAACAATGGATGTTTACCAGAAAAGGAGGATCTAAAAAAAGACATGCTATTGAGTGGTATCATGGGAAATGTAGGATCCAGTTTTTCATCAAGTGCTGGACGAAAAGTCGGGATATCTTTGCCTCATTGTTCATCTGACTCCCCCAACTTTATGGAAGCACCATACTCAAATGCTGGAGGGCCCCTTTAATGTTGTTAATATCTGATAAATCACACACTTAATGTTTGATTTAATTTGATTTATAAGGATGTAAAACCAGCATCGGCTAATGGAGTGGTTTGTTTGTCATGTACATAAGTACTGTATGTCTGATCTCTATCTAATTAGATATGAGGCTCCCAGTGTCACTGTCCATAATATCCTTTACTCATCAGATCATCAGATTATCACACATGGTAATCCCACGGACCACATGTCCTTAATCTGTATTCCTGGATTGTGTTGACTGTGTTCGTGTGAATGAATGAATGAATGAATAAATGAATGAAGCCACTGACTGGACAAACAGGTTTCGAGCTCTCACCTTGTACTTGGCGGTCAGTTGCTCGGTGGCTTCCTGCTCCTTCCTCAGATCTCCCATCATCCTCTTATTCTCTCCCAGGAGCCTCTGCTTCTCCTCGGCCAACAGGAATTGATCTTCTCTGATGGCCTCCTTCTCCCTCTCCAACCGCTGCTCCTCCAGCTTCACATAGTCCTCCGCCTCTTTCTCCACCTCCTCCTCATCCTCTGTCTCTTCATCCCCATCTCTCTCCCAGCCCTCGCCCTCCACCTGCTCCTTCTTCTGTTTGCTCCTCCACTTCCTGTGGTTGAGCTGGGCCCTGAGGCGAGCGATCTCCCTCTGAAACTCACGCAGTAGAGCATCCTTGGGATCCTCATTGACTCGGGGCTGGTTCTGGATGTTCTTGGCCCGGTTGGCGTAGCGTAGGGTGGTGAGGGTCTCATCGTAGTGCTGGGGGGCTGGGCCTAAGGTGGCAACCATAACAGTCTTTGCATTCCCTCCCAAAGAGTCCTGCAACAGCCGGGTCAGCTTGGAGTCCCGGTACGGCACATGGCTGCTGCGCCCGTCGGCCAGTGCTGAGATGACGTTCCCCAGTGCTGACAAGGAAAGGTTGATCTTGGCGGCCTCTTTCAGGCGTTCTCCCTGGACGCCTGTCTTGGCTTGGCGCTCGCTTCCAGCCAGATCCACCAGGTTGAGGCGGCCGACCCGGATGTGTTTCCTCCCATCTGGTCCAGGCTGGCTGCACTCCACTGTGATCAGGAACAACGCATGGGACCGGGACGAGTGTTCGTTCATGTCTGTCGCCCCAACCGCCCTCGCCTGGTTGCCCACGTTCATCACCTCCTCGATCTCCTTGATGCTCTTACAGACACACGATGTGAGGTCACGCACATACACCCCGGACTCTGGACTCTCCCTGAGCTCCAGGGCTCTGGCGTTGCCGTGGTTGGGGTCGAGGAGATCCCGAACCTCTTCCAGATAGATCTCAAGGTAGGATGCCCGCACAAGGTACTGCCTATCAGACTGCGAGCGAGAGATGTGTGTGAAGATGTGGTCAAAAGCATTGGGGATCACACCCCGTTTCTCCGGGTCCAACCAGGCCCCCTGCATGGTGTACGTCTTCCCAGTTCCGGTCTGCCCATACGCAAATATGGTGCCATTGAACCCTGCCAGCACCGAATCTATCAGCGGCCGGACGCTCTCATCATACAGGTCTCGCTGTTTTGAGTTTGCATCATAAACTGCATCGAACGTGAATGTTTTCTGGGGCTCGCTGGCTGGCGCACGAGGGTTTCTGAGGATCACCTGTCCGAGCCGCAGGTCCATCTGCACAATGCCCCCTGCAGGCCCATTGGACTCCTCTTTCCGGTTCAAAGGGCGGCATCGAACTACCACCTTCACCGACTCACTGCTCTTATTTTTTGACATGACTGGCTTCTGTTTCTTGTTGTAAACAACAAAAGGACAATCTAAATCAAAAATTGGCTGGGAACCTTTACAACGCCTTTAATCAGTCTCCTGTCTGCTATGAATATGAAACCAGTGATTTTTGAATCATTAATAACAAATTCAGTATGGCTTTTTTGATCATATCATAAAGGAAAACAGCCACAGTGCCTAATAACACAGACTCCAATAATGAAATTATGAAATGCCACAGTGTCTAATGGCTAATTTCCTTTGGCTTATTGTCTGTAATGTCAGCTTACAAACAGACAGACCGTCAGCAGCTCTCACGCGTTGGATCGACGCTCCATTGCAGTCCCGCTACACGTTCAGATTCACTCGGTGAAAAAAAATCCAACAATAAAACCAGTCACACTCATGTCGTCCAGATTTTACACGCCCGGTAGATCCGCGACAGACCGCTGTCCGCATCGTCATGTCCTCCGCTCACTGATGCTCCGAAGTGGATTTGCGGTTCTCGGTGTGTACAGAGAGACAGACCTCCCCTCCTCTACGTAACACACACATACGGAGACACACACACACGCATGCACACACAATCATTCAACCACCACACCCCACCTCACTGCGGAGTGGAACAAAGGATCGTGGGAAATGGAGTTTCACGTCACTGTTGAGTTGATCCTTGCCCAAGGCTGCCACCAGCTCCTCAGCTGGACACACTGTTTGTTCAATTTACAGCTATAATTGTGACAGTTGTGTATTTTTATGGTTTTAAACAATTCTGCCTGTTGACGCTCCCACAACTGGAGACATGTATTCATAACCACCCATTTCATGCGGCCTACATAAAGTAATCTGTTACATTACTCATTCAATAGATTTTTTTTTTTTTTTGCATTATTTGTTTTTCTTTACAATTTACATAAACACTTGGTCATTATTGCTTTTTAAATAGGCTATATTTATATATGGCTATACATATTCTTTCACATACAGTACTTGTATGTATAATTCTATGTTTATGTTTATCTGTATTTTTTCAACATTATTGTCCATAATTATAGCTGTATGTCTATTTATATATTTTTTGTAAATTGTTGTGTGTAAGTACATTGAGAGCAATTTAGAACCCAAGTCCATGAGAATTTAAGGTTAAACCTTAAACACACAGATTCCCCTTTTCCCCTTAAGAAGCTTTAAGATTGGAAAGAAATCATCTTATAACGTATTGCCTGACAGTATCAACAGTAGGCTATTATTCACATCACCTTGTTGTAGCTCTTTATTTCCTTTTTAATTGCTGCAACATATTGTCTAAGTGTTGTGCAAAATATTTATTCACTTCCCACAAATACATATTTGGGATCTTTGAAAACTTGTATCTCCTCTAGAATTGAAAATAAACATCTTTTTGAATTTGAACAATGTTTAAAGGCTTCTAAACTTAATTTCGTCTCAGAGAATAACCTTCTTGTTCATTTTTATAATTACACAAAGAGACAAAAGAAAAGTTTAGACCATCTCTACGTACAGTATTAATTTCATGGCAGCTCACAAAGCTGCAATTACAAGCTATACTGTCAAGAACCATAACGCTGTGATATGATAAATCTAAACATTTCTGTAATATTTTAAAAGGAATGTTTTGATTTCTGTATTTGAATAGGAGTCTATACTTTAGATGAACTTCAGAGGATGTAATCAAGATCTGGGAGCTGCTCCATTCATAATGAATAACAAACAAGCCTCAGCATTTATACAGTGGGTACGGAAAGTATTCAGACCCCTTTAAATTTTTCACTCTTTGTTTCATTGCAGCCATTTTCCAAAAATCAAAAAAGTTCATTTTATTTCTCAGTAATGTACACTCAGCACCCCATCTTGACAGAAAAAAACAGAAATGTAGAATTTTTTGCAAATTTATTAAAAAAGAAAAACTGAAATATCACATGGTCATAAGTATTCAGACCCTTTGCCGTGACACTCATATTTAACTCAGGTGCTGTCTATTTCTTCTGATCATCCTTGAGATGGTTCTACACCTTCATTTGAGTCCAGCTGTGTTTGATTATACTGATTGGACTTGATTATGAAAGCCACACACCTGTCTATATAAGACCTTACAGCTCACAATGCATGTCAGAGCAAATGAGAATCATGAGGTCAAAGGAACTGCCTGAAGAGCTCAGAGACAGAATCGTGGCAAGGCACAGATCTGGCCAAGGTTACAAAAAAATTTCTGCTGCACTTAAGGTTCCTAAGAGCACAGTGGCCTCCATAATCCTCAAATGGAAGACGTTTGGGACGACCAGAACCCTTCCTAGAGCTGGCCGTCCGGCCAAACTGAGCTATCGGGGGAGAAGAGCCTTGGTGAGAGAGGTAAAGAAGAACCCAAAGGTCACTGTGGCTGAGCTCCAGAGATGCAGTCGGGAGATGGGAGAAAGTTGTAGTAAGTCAACCATCACTGCAGCAATCCACCAGTCGGGGCTTTATGGCAGAGTGGCCCGACGGAAGCCTCTCCTCAGTGCAAGACACATGAAAGCCTGCATGGAGTTTGCTAAAAAACGCCTGAAGGACTCCAAGATGGTGATAAATAAGATCCTCTGGTCTGATGAGACCAAGATAGAACTTTTTGGCCTTAATTCTAAGCGGTATGTGTGGAGAAAACCAGGCACTGCTCATCACCTGTCCAACACAGTCTCAACAGTGAAGCATGGTGGTGGCAGCATCATGCTGTGGGGGTGTTTTTCAGCTGCAGGGACAGGACGACCGGTTGCAATCGAGGGAAAGATGAATGCGGCCAAGTACAGGGATATTCTGGACGAAAACCTTTTCCAGAGCGCTCTGGACCTCAGACTGGGCCGAAGGTTTACCTTCCAACAAGACAATGACCCTAAGCACACCGCTAAAATAACGAAGGAGTGGCTTCACAACAACTCCGTGGCTGTTCTTGAATGGCCCAGCCAGAGCCCTGACTTAAACCCAATTGAGCATCTCTGGAGAGACCTGAAAATGGCTGTCCACCAACGTTTACCATCCAACCTGACAGAACTGGAGAGGATCTGCAAGGAGGAATGGCAGAGGATACCCAAATCCAGATGTGAAAAACTTGTTGCATCTTTCCCAAAACGACTCATGGCTGTATTAGATCAAAAGGGTGCTTCTACTAAATACTGAGCAAAGGGTCTGAATACTTATGACCATGTGATATTTCAGTTTTTCTTTTTTAATAAATTTGCAAAAATTTCTACATTTCTGTTTTTTTTCTGTCAAGATGGGGTGCTGAGTGTACATTACTGAGAAATAAAATGAACTTTTTTGATTTTTGGAAAATGGCTGCAATGAAACAAAGTGAAAAATTTAAAGGGGTCTGAATACTTTCCGTACCCACTGTATTTCACTAAGTTTTGGCCAAAATCTATGCTAATGCTAAAATACTAAAAATCAAATACATTTTATTTAGAGGTAATATCTATAATCTCTGCAAAGCCAACAACAGGTCAACAACTCAAGTACTGAAGCGTTGATTTCTGTCTTAGGGAGACAGTTTGTGTTTCATGATTATAACTCAGCAATTCAACAGCACTGAAATAACACAATATCAGTTTATATAATCTGTTTATAATTCCCTGATTTATATATTTCCCTAGTTTATAAAACATGTTTCTTCTTCTTTTTTTATTCTGTTTGATTTATTTATTATTTTTTAATTTTCTATACGGGTAATAATATTACATTGGATCTGGGAGAATTTTTTTTCTATATGCAGAGAGGAACACAATGAACTGCAGTCAATGATGATCAAAAATAAGCTCCAATATAATCAACAAATAGTTAATTTTCAATTATAATTAAAAGTTTTGTACTGTAAAAGACTAACAGTGACCGCAATTTAAAATAGGATAAGCCTTTATTGATCCCAGGAGAGAAATAAATAAATTGAAAAAAATAATAATAAGAGGTACACAAAACCAAAATAAAATGTATTAGTAAAAATAG